ATTAATTTTCCAGTGTTTTGCTTTCAGTTAATTCTTGCTTTTATCATTATTTGCTCTTCTTGAATCTGTTCTTTTAGAAGTTTAATCTGAATGTCTAACTTATTAGTTTTCATTCTCTCTGGTGCAACATAAACACATTTGACTAGGAATTGTCCTCTGGTTGCAATGCTGGCTAAACTGCAAAGCTTTCGTTATAAGCGTATTCATTTTCACTAGAGTTTTGGTTTTCTCCTTGAAGTACGTCACAAAATTTACAAGTGACTATATTAAATTTGATTTTTCCTGTGGTGTTAATTTCTAATCTTACTGTACTGTAACACAGTAGATTATGTGGCTTGGGCAATTCCTACTTAGAATTTTATTGAAATTTTCTTTGTTGCTAACATGTAATTGATTTTTACAGTTTCCATGGATTAAAAAAGATGTATTTGCTATAAGATATAAAAGAAAATGGTGGTGAAAATACACTCACTTCTTAAGCTTGTCTTGTCTTTTTAAATGTATTTTTGTTTTTTGTTTTGAGACAGAGTCTCATCCTGTCACCCACACTGGAGTGTTGTGGCATGATCTTGGCTCACTGCAACCTCTGCCTCCGGGGTTCAAGAGATTCTCATGCCTCAGCCTCCCAAGCATCTGGAATAGCAAGTATGTGCTACCATGCCTGGCTAATTTTTGTATGTAAGTAGAGATGGGGTTTTGCCATGTTGGCCAGGCTGGTCTCAAACTCCTGGCCTCAAATGATCTGTCTGCCCTGGCTTCCCAAAGTGCTGGGATTACAGGAGTGAGCCTCTGCGCCCAGTCATGTATGGGATTTTGAATCTGACATTGAACTTGTGTTTTCTTAACACATATTGGTGTTGAAAATTGTTTTAAAAGAAAAATGAATATTTAAGATTTTAGTTTTTTGCTCCTTTCTCTCACCTTTATGCAGCTAAGCATGGGTATACCATTTTTTGGTGTATCATGTGGCAGGGTATCTGGGCTCCTGGCCCAGCCTCCCTAGGTGGCCCCATCAGAGGCTATGCATCTGTAGACAGAAAAGCTGGTCCCCTTCCTTTCACTTAAGACCCAGAGGTTGTGGTCTAGTTCTTGAAGGTCTAGTCCTTGACCCAGATGGGAGACAGTGACCCCTGAGAAAGGATGTGACCACACCCTACTTTATGGGGCCTTTGCTGACCAAACCCTACCTCTCAATAATGCTTTTCTTTTGAGTTGCTTTTTCCTTAAGTCTTCATGCTCAGCCTCCTACCACAGCTGGACATTTGCAAAGGGAACCAGAAACATCTTTGGGGGAAATGACAGTTGATGTAGATGACAGGTAAACCATAACCTTTTGGTATTATCCTGACCCTTGGTCCTGATCAAGCTGGCACACCCCAGAATCAGGCAAGATCTTACAGATATAGGCACAAATTCTGTCTTCTAAGTACTTTAAGTACTTTTCTAAGTACTTAAAACCTCCACAGCTTATGTCTTTTGTATGTTATTCACAAGACTGTAAAGAGACTGGCCGAGGTTGGAGATGAAAAGCCCTACAAAGTTGGAATCCTGCTGACCTGGATGGAGGTCCATCCAAGGAATTCCCATCTTACCAGTGACTTTCACAGAAACGCACAGTAAAGTACAGGGGGACCTTGCTGAGTTTTAATTCCTCAGTCTGCCTTTCCCCATCTTTTGAGTGATATACTCTAATTTGACTGCATTTTTGTGTGAGTATAGATGGATCCGCTATGATTCTAAAAATTAGGTGCCCTTCTGTTTCTTAGTAATGTCACATTCTCTGACCACTGTAGCCACTTAAAATAGTCTCAAATATAAATAGCTTTCAGTGGCCACAGTGGAGAAGATGCTGCCCCAGGAGGCATATTCTCACCTCCACCTCTTAGACTCACATGTATGATTTTTTTCTCTCTCTACCAAGGTGGCTAGTTTTGACAGACTTTAGGTTGCAGAATTATTTATATTCAAAAGAAGTCCTCACCTTCACAGAGCATTTTCCTGGGCAATTGTTCTGGTTTGTAAGTTTTTAATATCTACTCTTATTTGGAGTCCCAAAATGAGTTAGCTTGGCTAGATCTCACAATGAAAACTGATTTCTTCGCATAAAACTTTATTCTACCTTTTTGAAAACCAGCTGGAAATGATGAATGGTGGCTTCAATAGTAACGGTTCACGAAGAACTGATTGTGTCCCCATCAATGAGGTCATACCCATGGCAGAGCAATGGCTATTTACTCTGTCTTGGGGTTGTAGTAAGCTGGGGGAATATCAGGCCAAGAATCAACAGAACCACGTGGCTTAGGCAGGTCACAGTTTCTCTGTGCCTCAGCTCGCTCAGCTGTGAGATGGGAATAACAAACACCCCTTAGAAGGTATCGTGAGGTCATTCACCAAAGGACATTTCGGTGCTTTGAATGGGTCTGGAACATACCCTGGTATTTTTACTCTACAAAGAAGAAATCAGTCCTAGAATATAATTAGACCGGACTTTCTGGTCCTTTTAATCACACCTCCTTCCTAAACTGGATCCAGCCGCAAATGATTGCCTTAGTTTCAGGACTTCATTTTCGTTTGACTCAGCTGATCAAAACTAAGACCATTCTGAGCCAGGAGAATAGGGTCTGGAGGCAGGGAACCTAAGGCCGATTCACACCAACCTCTTAGAACTAAATCAAAAGGAAAACACCAACTTTCCACACCCAAGTAACAACAGGACCAGAGGCTACTCCCTTTGCAACTCCCTTTTTTCTGCCTGGCAGATAAGAAACTATTAAGTACCTCTGATTGGTCCCCTCCCACAGCCAATGAGGCTATTCATAGGCCAAGATTTCATTTGCATAGGAGTATAACTTTGCAACTTCAGCCTCTGATTGGTTGCTTTCTGCAACTAATTAGACATGTGCACAGGGTATAACTTTCTAACTTTGCTTCAGCCTCTGGTTGGTCCCCTCCTGCAACCAATCAGACTGATCATGGGCCACTACTTCTTTTACAAAGGGTGTACACCAAGTAACCAATGGGAAACCTCTAGAGGGTATTTAAACCCCAGAAAATTCTGTAACACGGCCCTTGAGCCTCACAGGCTGCTCCCATCCTGTGGAGTGTACTTTCATTTTCAATAAATCTCTGATTTTGTTGCTTCATTCTTTCCTTGCTTTGTGTGTTTTGTCCAATTCTTTGTTCAAGAACGCCAAGATGACTGGTAACAATTCAAACTATGAAAAAGGTAAGAGTCCTTGGCACTTCTCAACACGTGGTGACACAGCTAATAACGTGCAGTGCATACATGGGAGTAAATGCAGAGAAAAGCTTGTCGATGACACGACAAAGTTAAACCCAAATGAAGCAAGGTGAGCGGTGCAAGTAAAACTGCACCACGTTAAAGACTGCTTGCCTGGGATGGAGCAGTGGGGAGGTGCGCAGAGGCATGGACAACGGCCTGGCAAAATGGATTCCTTTCCCTAGGCTGCTAATGCTACTAATAGTTCCCTCCTGTTATAGGGTCGCTATAACAAGGTAACGTACAGCACTTGGAAGACGGCCTGATCCAGAATAACACTAATGTTCACATGGCTGCGACTCTCAGACCAAAATCAACAGCTGGTATCTACTGAAACCAGCAAGGCGAAACCACGGGAATGGCGCTCCTTTGAGTAGAGCAACGCACATCACACCCCATCACATCACATCCTCCCTAGCGGGAGGCTCTGGCCTCATCGGAGCGGCACTTCCCGGAAGAGCCAAGGATATTCCGGGACTAGCACGGGACGGCGGCCCAGACCCCCTGGCGCGCAGCCGGCCGCCCTGTTGCAGCTCTCCCGCCAAGACATGCGCCTAGCGGCAGGGATTCCCCGGTCACCATTTATTCTTGGCGCTAAGCTGCCGCTTCTCATTTCTACAACCACCGAGCAACGCAGACCCCGCCGTTGCCAGCCACTCCAGCAGCGACGGGGGCGCCAGGTTGTGCGGGGACTGCACCACCCGGCCCGAGGCTTTTGAAGCCACGCTTGGGCTCGGGGGATGGGCAGGACCTGCCCCGTGCAACTGCCGCGCACGCAAGCTCCGCGCAAGGCCCGGGCGCCCAAGAGGGGATTCCCACTCCCGTCACCAGCTCCAGCGTGGGGCCCCCAGGCTGTGGAGCCCAAATCCCAGCCGCCCGGCAGCGCCTGGACGAGCCCGAGTCTCACCGCGCTGGAGATCCGCCTCCTCCCGCCCGGGCGAGGGCGCCGTCCTCCCTCGGAGCTGCGCAGGCGCGTCCCCGCCCTCCGGTCACGTGCTACAGCGCTCGGCCACGCGACCACGCCTCCCGCCGGAGTCTGAGAAAAGGCCGCCCTGTTCCAGAACGGGAAGCAGCGACAGGAAGGAACTGGGTGCACTGGCGTCTGCCGCCGCCCTGAATTACCGTTAGCATGTGGCGGCAAGCTCAGCCCCCCTTTCTTAAACACAAGGTAATTCTGATTCAGACACAGGAATTACGGTGAGGGTAGAAACGGACTGGAAGGTTCGTTCCCCTTGCCCACCAAGACTCCAGAGCAGGGGGTTCCAGATGCCTACTCTCCATGAAGCCCTGGGCTTTCCGTACCTCCCTGCTTTTCCTGTGAACTCGCTGCACAGCTGAGCCAGAATGTGTTCTTACCAAAACGGGCATTTCCCAAAAGACAACACTGTTGTAGATTCATTGTGCACAGCCTCTTTCTTTCGTCTCCCCTTCCTTTCCTCGCATCTTGCTCTAAATGGATAATTTGACAACTCTTGAGCTGCTGATAGCGGACACCCCCAACTCCTGCAAGCCTGGTAGAGTGGGACAGTTGCAGCCCAAGGTAGACAAACATCTGAGTATTGCTTAGTAATAGATCATGAAGAGGTCAGACCAAGAAATGGAAGGAACTGGCCGACCTGAGGCCTTTGTTCCGGCCACTCAGGATTGAATGAAGTGATAAAGGTAGCCACGTTGTCTGGCAGTGCTTCAGGTAATAATTCTTCACTAAGGAAAGCAGCCATCATATTTATATCCACAAATCAGTTTATTAAAGACATATAGCAATATGTATCCCAAACCTTTTTCAAAATTGTCATTAGTTTCTAAAATTCATTATTTTCATCTCATTAAAAATGGTTTCTTCCTTTAAAATTTCCCAGAAAGTGTGGCTTCTGTTTTCTGCTGCTCAGTTTAAACACATCATCAAAGATAGATAATGAATAATGTCATGTGGGCATAAAAGGAGATTTATACACCAGAAGTGAATTTTCTGGGAACCAAGTTTCAAGTGACTCAGATGAGCTTTACTAATTTCACGGGTGAAGCCACTGGATACAGCAGTGCCTAAATCAGGCTTGTTTACCCTTGGCATTATGTCCCCAAACACGGTTTCAGGTCCATGGAAATAAATACAGCTTGGGAGGCCTTCAGCCTGAGCCTGTTTTGCCCAAGACCATCCAGACTGAAAAGCACAAAGGAAGGCTAGTACGTGTGCAAAGCAGCGTGGCTTATTTTAGGGTCCTATTAATTGTGGGCCAACAAAACAGTGGCAGGATTTCAAGAAAGAAATGTATTGCAACAGACCATATCCTTCGAACCACAAAGGGAGACTGAGAAAATGCTGGCTCAAAACACAGCTTCCTTAGGTGGCTCAGAGGCAGACCAAGTTCATCAAGTCCAGGACCTTCTCCTGCTACCACCTTGGGGAGAGGGGCCTTCACCAACCTGCCCTGCACACAGGTCTCCAGCTGTTCAGAACCTACTCAGTAACAACAGGAGCAAACATACATGTTTCCCCCTTATGTAACTTTGCATTTAAATATATTCTGGGAAACTGCTGGGCACAGTGGCTCCCACCTGTAATCTCAGCACTTTGCGAGGCCAAGATGGGAGCATCACTTGAGTCTAGGAGTTCAACACCAGCCTGGGCAACATAGGGAGAACCTGTCTACAAAAAGTTTAAAAATTACACTGAGTGTGGTGGCACGCACCTGTGGTCTCAGCTACTCGGGAGGCTGAGGGGAGGGATTGCTTGAGCCAGGGAAGTCGAGGCTGCAGTGAGCTGTGATCTCACCACTGTGTTCAGCCTGGGCAACAAAGGGAAAACCCTGTCTCCCTTTATATGTTCAGGGAAATGGCAGCATGAGATTTTGTGCCAGTTCTTGAGACTTCAGAAACACTTCAGCACCAGCCAAATATCCCCATGAGAGCAAGGAAAACTCTTTTCCAGTTGCCTGCAAATTTTAAAGTTATAATGAAAATGTTATAAAAGTAACTACAGAATAGAGTGGGGGTGGAGGGCAGTCACACATTTCCAGTGGCTAGCACTCTGCCCTGTGCCCCCCACCTCGGAGAGTATCTACAAACTTCCTACCCATCGAGTGTGCTTGAAACCGTCCTGGATGTCAACGGGCCACAGACCCTTTGCTGTGGGGAGTCCCAGCCACATACGTTGGCAACTTGGAGAGAGATTTCCATTTGTCCCCATGATCCCACTTTCCAGCAAAGCTCAAACTGTTGTCACAGTTGTTTCACTGTACCTAAAAAGGAACAGTTAACGCAGGAGCCACAGTCAGTGTTTGCTGTGAAATGGTCTTGCAAATAGCATTAAGAAATCTTGTTGCATTTCAAAGAAAAGCTCTGATTAGAGGCGCCTGTTGGAAGCAGAAGCCTCAAAGAAGTTAACTTGCGGGTCCCCTTCGTTTCAGACACGGAATAATCACAAACACAAATCTATGCTGCTCGCTGGAGCTCCCTTAGGATTGGGATAAAGCTGGATTTCCAGATGCCGCTCCGTTTTCCCTGCCTCCCTCCCTCTGGGCTATGTCCTGCAGAGCTTCAGCGGGAAGTTCTCCGTGATGAGGTGGTCAGGGTGAAGATGCACCACGATGTTAACCTCAAATTCTGAGAAAAGAGACAGTGGGTTTATGCTGATACCGAGCAGTGAGATCCCATGCCGCCGCCAAGGCAGTCGCAGTAAGTTCTAATGGAGAGGGAGTGCCGGTCCGGGGGGGTTTCATTGCTGTCCCCTCAGCGCCACCCAAGCTTTCGGCTAAACCAGTGGAGATGACCCTTCTGATGTCTGACTACCTCTGTCAGCTTTCTCTAAGTGAGGTTTTGTCCTCTCATCTTGGAACGTGAGTGATCAGCCTCCCTCAACTCCACTTTCCCTGTCCCTTTGCTTTCCTAGAGAGAACCTACTAGAACCCTTTCAAGTCATTTGTATTCCTTTGCCTTATTTTTACATTTCCTACGGTTCTTAATGATATAGCAGACCGTGAACCAGCCCGTAGCTATCTGGGCCCATGTCCCTAACCCCCAGGAGAGAAACAATCTTCAGAAGCAGCAGTTTTGGCCGGACATGGTGGCTCACACCTGTAACCCCAGCACTTTGGGAGACTGAGGCGGGCGGATCATGAGGTCAAGAGATCAAGACCATCCTGACCAACATGGTGAAACTCCGTCTCTACTAAAAATACAAAAATTAGCTGGGTGCATGCCTGTCGTCCCAGCTACTCAGGAGGCTAAGGCAAGAGAATTCGCTTGAACCTGGGAGGCAGAGGTTGCAGTGAGCCGAGATCATGTCCCTGTACTCCAGCATGGTGACAAAGTGAGACTTCAATTTGAGGAAAAAAAAAAAAGTGGCAATTTATTGTTGCTTCATTGGATACTATTCATCCATCACCTTTCAGTAAACAGGATTCCTTCTCCACTGACTCTTCAGCTGCTACGGCTAAGCCTTGTTGATCAAAACAAAAGGGGTGTGTGTGGAGAGGAAGCGCCTGAAGACAAATAAGCACCATGTCCTTCCCCAGTGTGACGAGGGGTGGGGAGGACGTCATGTGGGCAGAGGGCCCTGTGCCAAGCCCCACACTGTGGCAGCTCAGCTGTGGAAGGGCCTTGGAGTCAGTGCCCAACCTGTGGCTGGGGGCCACAGGACAACATCCCCGTGTGGGGTATCCACCTCCGCCCCAACATCAGCCACGAGAAGAGTCGGCCACCAACAGTGCCCCCTTGTCCTTCCTCACTTTATTGTCACTACATTAGAGCCCTCTGGGCCCTTCCTGCCACCACTCCCTTCAACGGATTCTCCACGCCTCTTGCCGTGTCCCCCGGAAGGGTAGTGGGTGTGGCTGGAGTGGACAGAGAGGGATGCCCAGTAGGCAGGAGAGGGAGCTGGCACGGGCTCTCCTTTTCAGCAGGAAAGCAGCTGCCTCTGAGCTGCCACGCTACCCAGGTGCTGCTTATAGCCCGAGTGAGCCAGCCTCGGGTCTGACCACGCATCTGAGGTAACTTGCACAAAGAGCTGGAGAAGAACACACAGAGGTGCTGCTCCTAATGTGATGCAGTGCTCACTCCTGACTTCCAGCCTAGACGCCCTGAGCCTTTCTGAATCACTGTCCCGTCCTACTGAGAAGGCTCAGTCACTTCCTACCAGGTCTCTGCTCTGCCTCCTCGTAGTGTGGGGTGATCTCCCAGTTCACATGATTCTTATTAAGATGGATGGACATTAAAAAATTTACAGGAACAGTTGAGAACATGAAAATGTTCATGATACGATGTTAAGGGGAAAGAGGCAGGATATAAAAGGGTGTCTGTGACCGAATTCAGATCCCGTGGTTAAAATATGACACACAGCTTCATGGACACTCACTAGAGGCAGCCTAGACTGCGGGGCTCCAGGCCTTCCTGCTGCTGAACGCTCACTCTGGGGTTTGCGCAGTCCTGGACCTTCACTCAGAGCCACCCTGCCAGCATGCACGCCACCCCTGCTCACGTGGTGCTCACATGCGTTGAGTTTTCTTCATGGAGCTCGGCATCACTGCCCTTGTCTACACTGATGTGGGTCTGTTTCCCAGCGTGACGGGGGAAGTTCCACGAGCACCAGGACTGCCTGTGTGTGTCCCTGTGCGGCACGGCAGCTCCCTAACGAGGTTTTGCTGAGTGGCCAAAGGGCGGCCAACTCTCAGCTTTGTTGCCCACAGAAGGCCCTGGTGCTGAAGGACCAGGGTGGCAGGCTCTGAGCTATGTGACCCACAGCAGGCCCTGGCACTGAGTGGCCCTTCCCATGGGCCCAGGAGGGCTGGGGGGGAGTGCCACTTACCCACTTTGAAGTTGGTGGTCTCCAGCGTAGGGCAGGTGAACAGCCTGGGGAAGACCATGTAGATGGGAACAGAGAGGCCCCTGCACACGTCCCCGTCGGCGATCTGAATGTTCTGAATCTCCGTGGCATCGCGGGCGTAGCCTTCTGCACACCCTGGGGAAGGGAGGCCACGTCATGCAGTCAGGGACAGCAGGGTGGCGGGGCCTCATCAGCACTGCACCACCCCCTAGTCTGCTCCAAGGATCCTCCAGGGTTCCCTCACTGTCCTCGAACATGCGGCTACTGCCATGCACAGCCACGCTCTTACTTTTGCTTTCCCTGACATCCTCTTTTTTTTTTTAGAGTCAGGGTGATGATCTGCTTTGTTGCCCCAACTGGAGTGCAATGGTGAGATCTCAGCTCACTGCAGCCTCAAACGATCCTCCCACCTCGGCCTCCCAAGTAGCTGGGATCACAGGGGTGCACCACTGTGCCCAGCCCCCCAGCATCTCTTAACCACAGAACTCAAGGGTGGCAGTCAAGGGCGACAGGCAAGTGCGGGGCCTGGGGGCACGGCCTCACCGCATGTCTCCACGCGCACCAGCTGCAGCTCCACGCTTCTGATGGCGGCCTCCGAGCTCTCCACCACCAGCTCTCCCGTTAGCGGCTGTGTGATGACGCAGTTTGTTGAGTTGAGATGTCCTCGAATGAGAAATTTGGGAAGTAAAGCTCTCTAAAACAAAATAAAAACAAATACATCGGAATGGAAGAAAGTAGGGAAGGCACTCTGTAGTTACTTTGGTGTGAATAAAAACTGGAAACAAAGCTGGGTGGTGGTTACATGGTCCACTGGGACCATCTCGCAAAATGAGAAGGAGCAAGAATACTGACATCGTGGACATTAACAGGCTGAACTATTCAACAACCCTCTACATACGGCACCTGACACTCCTTGGACTGAGAATGACTCACAGAACCATCCCAATTTCCTAGACTCAGATCTAGAAAGCTCCTTCTTACCAAGAAATAAGACACAAGAAAGTCTGAGGGAGTCGCCATGGTGTTCAAGCACAACCTGACACACACACAGTTAAAAAAGAAGCCAAATGGCCAGGCGCAGTGGCTCATGCCTGTAATCCCAGCGCTTTGGGAGGCAAAAGCAGTAGGATCACTTGACCAGAAGTTCAAGACCAGCCTGCATAACACGGCAAAAGCCCATCTCTAAAAAATGTTTTAAAAATTAGCTGGGCAGGCTGGTGCACACCTGTAGTCCCAGTTACTTGGGAGACAGAGGCAGGTGGATTGCTTGAGCCCGGGAGCTTGAGGCTCCCGTGAACAATGGTTGCACGACTGCACTCCAGCCTGGGTGACAAGAATAAGATGATGAGATACTGCCTCTTAAAAAAAAAAATTCAAAGATGTTCTCAATTGTGCAATTTTTTAAAGCCAAGACATTTATTTTATTTCACAGAAATTTAAAGAAAACTATTTTCTTTGACGCTTGATGAGAAGCTTATAAACCTTGACTCTGTAGATGGGACACTGGCCAGGAAGGACTGACGACGGTCTGTAGAAGGGCTGCCCAATCTTTTGGCGCCTTGGGCCACTTTGGAAGAAGAATAATTGTTTTGGGCCACACATAAAATATATTAACACTACTGATAGCTGGGGAGTTAAAAACAAAATCACATCCTGTTTGTGTGGAGTCACATTCAAAGCCATCCTGGCCTGTGGGCAGTGGGTTGGATGGGCTGGGTCTAGAGAGCTACAGTTTTTCCAGGGGTCTGTACCTCTGGCTGGATGCCAGTTACTGAAAGGATCAGTGATTGGCATACTACTGTCCAACAAACGTAATGCAAGCTGCAAGTGGAAGACACATAATAATTTGGAATTTTCTAGTAGCCACATTAAAAAGAAGGTAAAATTAACCAATATATCAGAAGTATTATCACTTCCACATGTAATCAATATCAAAAATATGAATGATGTTTGACATTCTCCTTTTCATCCTGAGTCTTTGAAATCTGGTCAGTATTTACACTTCCAGCTCATCTACGTGGCCCAGCCATGTCCAGGGTCAATGGTCACATGTGGCTGGTGGCCACCTGACTGGGCAGTAGAGCTCTGGACCCAGCAGCCCCCAAAGGTACAGACCTCAGAAAACGTCTGCATTCAAGATGGAGGTTCTTTGGTTTTGCTTTTGTTTTTTTAAGTAGACACATATTTAAAGACAGGGTCTTGCTCTGTTGCCAAGGGTGGAGTACATGGCTCACCACAGCCTCACCTCCTGGGCTCAGGCAATCCTCCTGGCTAAGCCTTCCCAGTAGCTGGGACTACAATTGCATGCCACCACACCCAGCTAATTTTTACATTTTTCTTTTGTAGAGACAGGGTCTGACTATGTTGCCCACGCTGGTCTTGAACTCTTGACCTTAAGTGATCCTCCCAAAGTGCTGGGATTACAGGCATCAGCTACTGTCCCTGGCCAAGCCAGGGTTTTAAAAATAACTAAGAGAAGCTATTTGTGTAGAAAAATAAAAAGCGTAGCAGTTCACATTAAAATTCTTTTAGGCGACTGATGAAAAAGGAAAGCTTTCAACATATAGCGCAAGATACTGACTAAACATTCATTTTCCCACTCCTCCCACTGACATGATATTAACATATACAAATAAAATAAGCCTCCACTATTTTCAGTCTGAGCTCCAGCCTTCCTGTAAAGCTATCTTATAGCCTTCCAATAAATCTCTTTTCTACTTAAAAAGCAAAACAAAAAACCACCAGTGGCATTTGTGAATACATAATTTTATTTTATTTGCTTTATGTGTTATTTTCTTATTTTCCAACAATAAACATGAATGGTTCTGTCAAAAGAAAAGTTCCTTACATTTGTAACTAAACCTACACCTAGAAAAGCCACAAGGAGTACCCTGTGGAGAGCAGCCCCATGAGACATTTCTGTCAGATAGAAAGTAGACAGACGACATGGCTCCCAGGAGTTCAGGGCACCCGTCCTCCAGGTAGCAGGGGAAGCAGTGAGAGTGGGTGTGCTCTCAGGGCATGTGGTCAGTCTGCCGTCAGATGGGGGCCTTCGAAGGGCTGTAGGCGGGTATCACGGGCGAGCTCACCAGGCGGGGAAGCTGCCACAAGCTGGCACCACAGCTTCCTGCAAAGGGATCTCCCACCTGGAAAAGCAGACTCAGGGCAAGGTGGGACAAGGGTCCCATATCATTCATGGCCACAGTGCAGACAGCAAGCGTCTGGACTCAGGAAACAAGCTGCCTACAAACACCCCTGCCACATGCTATCCCCAGGGTAGAGCGCCTCTGCTCAGTGTGTGCTGAGGACCAGGAGAACAGGTTCTCATGTGGGCTAAGGACACAGCCTCTTCAACACCACCACACGCACTAGATCCTCATTCATAAATGTAAACTGACAACCAAGGATCAAAACACATTTAAGGAAAACAAAAGCAAGAAAAAGACACATGCACTCAACAAACAGAACCAACCCCTGAGAAACAGAATCATTACAGGAAACGGAGATGAAAGGCCGCTGCATCTGCAATGGGAGCAGCAGCCAGAGGAAGAAACGGCGCCTAGAAATGAAGCGCATTACTGCGGAGTCAGCACTTCCACAGCTAGGCGACAGAGGTGGGAGAGAGGAGTCTAAGTGGCCCACTGGGGTCGTGTGCCCTCAGAGCCCGGACGGACAGGGGAGTGGCCTTTCCTCCCTCACCTGTCTGCAAGGCTCCCCATGACACACATCCAGCCTCTGAGGGAGGAGGCCAATGACCTCCCAGGGCCCAGTCCTCCCAGCTCATCCTTAACTTGATCCTAGTGAGTGTGGTCCAGACAGCAGAATGAAGAATTAAGAGGAAGGAAGAAAAGTTACATCCAGGAAGAACTAGAGGAACTCACTGCTTTCTTTGAGACACATACCATTAAAAAAAAAGTCTGGGGAAATGCATGGCGGTGATGAGAGGGCAAGATCAGGGAGGCTGCGGCCAGGCAGAGTTCTGGATGAGGCCAAGTTAACCACTCTGCCAGTAAAGCGCATGTGGGCAGCTGAGGCTCCACTGAGAGCCAGACAGCCCTGTCCTGACACAGGAGGTGGGAGGGCTGGGCTGGCACTGCCCAGGGGCCTGTGTCCTTACTGTACCTGTCCCAGCCGTGAGGTGTCCACCACGGAGGGCGCTGTGAAATCTTTAAAAAGCACATTGCTGCCTGGCCTCTGCCAGGTGGGAATGCTGGGGGGAGAAACGGCAAACTAAACATCCATGGAGGATGACAAGAGGCCAGGGGGCCGGGCTCGGGGCCGGGCTCAGGCCCTGGCTAACCACGAGAAATAAAGGGACATGGATGTGTCATGGGCAGCAGGGGGTCTCGGGGGCCCACGATGCAGTAAAACTGAAGGAAAACAGTGCAATTAATAGACATACTCTCCCTGCAGAACTTTTCAAAAGCACTCTTCTAAGCTGCTTTACTGAGCTTAAAAAGGAAATCAAATGGAAAATACTGAGTAAATTGGGTACAAACAATCAGGAATCTCTGCTGGCTGATGATGTGATTTCCAAACAAAACCACCCGGGCAATAGCTAGTCCGTGGGGACTGGCTGCTGGGAAGATACCCACAGCATTTGAGTGGGCAGAACATCTTACCTCTTTGACGTTCTGTAAGGTTTCAGGTGTAATCGTGAAGTCTACAGGACTGGGAGTCAACTTTCCCTTCTGAGGCTAAAACGAGAGGTTAAACTGAAGTCAGTCGGTGCAGGCCAAGAGTACTGCAGGTCAAACAGCTTTTCCCCTTCAAAAATAAACAGATGGCAGCCGGGCCAAGCAGGCAGGACGGGGGACAAAGAGGAGGTGGCCTGGGTCCCAAACACGGTTCTGCCAAGTTCCCCATCTCGCTGAAACTCAGTTTCCTCATCTGTAAAATGAGGGGAGACATGTCTTAATCTCCAACGTGCCTTTCGGATTCAGAATTTAAAAATCAGACCTAAGAAACAGCACTGTTATTGAGAGGTACTCATTTGAAACCTCTCAGCACAGTGACCTCCGAGGGGCTCCTCACCTCCCAGATGGTCCCACTTCACAGATGAGGAAAGTGGGGCAGAGAGCTCAGTGACTTGTTCAGCTCAGCGGTAGAGCTGAGAGGCTGAGCATCAAACCCAGGGGTCAGGTTGCTGTTAGGCTCTGAGCTATAGAGCTGTCTACCTGAAGAATCATACCTATAACATAGCTATAAATGTCACCAAAACAGCAGTAACAGTGATCACCTCCATTACACATAATTTCAGAATCCAATGATATAGCTGAGCTTCATAAGAGCCTGCCTGGCATCTTTTACCCAGGGGCTGGGATGCAAAAGGCCACTCTACCACCCAGAGAGTCAAGGGGAAGAAGGGCCATGCCCGACGTGCTGATATGGAGTCCCTCTGGCCCGCGGCCCCAGCTGGGGGACTCTGGGCCAAGGACAATGATGCACACGTGATGCCCATGCCACTGGCAATCTCTGATCCAGGAGTCTCGTGTCTTCTGCCAGCACCCAGGGAACAATAAAAGGCTAAATTATTAGCTTGTAAATAGGGTAAAATCTCAGACCCCATGGGAGATTCCTATTATTAAGAACCAGAGCCCCAAGTGAAGCTTACAGCGGAGTGAACGATAAATTCACAGGTCTTTGTCAAGTCCTTGGCCAACAGAGACCGCCTCATGTCACAGCGCAGTGTATACTAAAGGGGAGAGTTGGAGAAAAAAAGGTCATCTGAGTGGAATTTGCTTTCATCTTGGAATTATATTCAAAGAGACAAGTCAGTCAACATATTTTAGGGAAATATTTTACAATCAGTGTATTATAGGAAATTAGCATACATAATATATAATAGGAGAGTTAATGTTCAAATTAAAGGCATTTCTATTTTTAAGAAAGAACCACTTTACGGTTATTCTTCAATCTATTTGCACAGCCGTCCTGCAGCTGCACCCACTGGTAGACAGGTGCATGGTTCTGCCTGAAGCAGGGAGCAGGCTGGTGGGACAGAAAGGGCAGCGTGCTCAGGAGCAAAGGGCAGGCCAGATCCCGTTGTCCGCCTTACTGTGCGAGCCCAGACAGATAACACGACTTCTCTGAGCTTCTGCTTCCCATCTGTAGAATGGGGCTATTAACATCCACCTGCATCGAGACTCCAGTAAGACAATGTGTGACAAGCACTTAGTACAGGGCTGGCGGACAGCAGCGCCTGGTGAAGCAGCAGCTACTTTGTAAGCGGGATTAGAAAGTACGTGCAGTGAGGACTGCAACCCTAGGACAGCACCCAGCATGTCATGACCCATCCTTGCTGAGCACCTGCTCTGAGTGCAGAGCACTGCCCTGGCCACAAGAACCAAGCTCAAGGTCACACCCGGTCCTCAGGGAGCTTCTAGTTTACTGAAGTAATATGCAGTGCTCACACATCCATCAACCAACTTCTACAACGGTCAACTCATGGCTAATCTTACTTATCAAAACATCTCTAAGGCCTCTCCCCATCTGCCAATGCACAGATGAAGCCTGCATCTCAAAGAAAAAGTGACTTGGAAAAAAATGTAGCGTCACACTTGCACTTCCTCTTTTAAGTGGCAAAGCCACGTTCCATTTCTCTGCTGTCCCGAGGTTATTTTTCTGAGCTGGTGGCTACCATGGTGCCTGCTACAAGGTGGGCCCTATTCCCCCCAGGGGAGCCCCACTGCAGAGCTGGTATTGAGCTTAAAGCAGGCTTTGAACAGGGACTATTGCTTCTAATCCCTGTCTGTGAGCTGGGAGACTGTGTAGAAACGTAATTCTACAGCATGATCACTGTTGTAATGCCAGTCTTTAAAAAAAAAAATCACATAATCCACATTTAATAAAGTTAGCTATTATTTTAATCATCCAGGAAAAACTTTAGAATTATGTCAAAAATAATTTTCATAACTGGGACTATATGCATAATTGAATCTTACAAGAAGCTGTATTCTTATGAACAACCTGTCCACATGAAAAAAGAAGTTACTATATATTTAAGGTACTACTTGGAGAGTAAAACATTGTTTGAAAGAATCATCCCTTGTCTGCAAGGATCTTTATATATAATATATATACAACATATATATTCTCTTTTTGTTTTTTGAGACAGAGTCTCACTCTGTTGCCCAGGCTGGAGTGCAGTGGTGTAATCTCAGTTCACTGCAACCTCCACCTCCTGTGTTCATGCCATTCTCCTGCCTCAGCCTCCCAAGCAGCTGGGATTACAGGGGTGTGCTACCAAGTCCAACTAATTTTTTTTTTTAATGGAGTTTCAGTCTTGTTGCCCAGGCTGGAGTGCAGTGGCGTGCTCTCGGCTCACTGCAACCTCTGCCTCCTGGGTTCAAGTGATTCTCCTGCCTCAGCCTCCAAAGTAGCTGAGATTACAGGCACCCTCCACCATGCCCAGCTAATTTATGTATTTTAATAGAGATGGGGTTTCACTCTGTTGGTCAGGCTGGTCTCAAACTCCTGACCTTAGATGATCAATCCACCCACCTCAGCCTCCTGAGGCTGGGATGACAGGTGTGAACCACTGCACCCAGCCTAATTTTTGCATTTTTAGTAGAGATGGGATTTTGCCATGCTGGCCAGGCTGGTTTTGAACTCCTGACCTCAGGTGACCTGCCTGCCTCGGCCTCTCAAAATGCTGGGATTACAGGTGCAAGCCACTGTACCTGGCCCTGTTCATAGTTTTGAAGTAGGCTCCTGTAAAACGAATTTTTAACTTTGAAAAGGGATGACTAGGATCTCCGTAAGTTCTGAATACACAATTTCAGCAGACATATTTTATGTTACAGTACAAACTCTTGCCAGCACAGCTACAAGAGTAGAACAAACCCAATAAAACTTGCTACAATTTAAATTCTTGTAAAAAGAAGTAGTTGCACAAAGGACAACTAAGGAAGACTGATGATTGTATGAAGTATCTAATAACAAGGACAAAAATGAACCCAGCACGACTGAAAAGAAGAATGTCAAGCCCTCCATCTAAAAAGTAACAAGCAAACCAAGCCTCTGTACTGGTAATCTCTCTCTCTCACACACACACACACAAACACACACACACACACACACAAACACACACATACACGAGAGAGAGAGAGAGAGAGAGAGAGAGAGAGAAAGAGACTCTCTCTCTGTTGCCCAGGTTGGAGTGCAATGGTGTGATCTCGGCTCACTGCAACCTCTGCCTCCCAGGTTCAAGCAATTCTCCAGCCCCAGCCTCCCAAAGCAGTTGGGATTACAGGTGCCCACCACCACGCCTGGCTAATTTTTGTATTTTTAGTAAAGGCAGAGTTTCACTATGTTGGCCAGACTGCCCTTGAACTCCTGACCTCTGATCCGCCCACCTCAGCCTCCGAAAGTGCTGGGATTACAGGCATGAGCCACCACACCCAGCTAATACTGGCAAAAAAAAAAAAATATATATATATTTTATTATATATATTTTTTTTTTTTTTTTTGAGGTCTTGCTATGTTGCCCAGGCTAGACTTGAAGTCCTTGGCTCAAGTGATCCTCCTACCTCAGCCTCCCAAGTGGCTGGGTTAACAGGTGCATGCCACTGCACCCAGCATGTCTATATTTTAAATCCTTTGTTCTGTTTTATTATTTCTACCATTTTACATTGTTACTTATAACACAATTCAATTTATAAATGAAAAATTTCTTGGCATACATATAACTTAAGAAAGATGATATTAGAGTTTAACAACAAAACTTTCTATCCAAAGAAATGTGCCTATGTTAACCTTTAGACTGAGTGTAGTAAACAGTGGGGCCAATGAGTGCTGGCCTGGACCCCCGGGCTGAGGCTGGCCTGTGTGATCACAGGACGTCACTGCCCTCTCTGGGAGGCACTCACTCTACTATCAAACTCTAAGAAAAAGACCTGCCAAATAATGGCATGAATTAATGAATGGATGAAGACAGATTTTTTAAAAAAACATAATCTTAGTTTCTCTTAAGTTTATTTTCTCTAAAGAAGCAATGACAAATTTCAATATGAATCAAGACTTAAACGCTACTTGAGAATTTTTTTAAATTCTGATAGGTGTGCAAATGTTAACTATAATTATATAGACACACGTCCCTTGTTTTTGGAGATGCGCAATGAGGTATTTTGAGATGAAGTATAAAGACTCTGAAACTAACTTTAAAATTAATTAGAACAAAATACAGATTAACAAAGATGGCAAAATGCTAATAAATGCTAAATGATAAAGTGCAATAAGCTCATAGAAATCAGAGGTTAAACTAAGAAATCTCTTCACTGTTAGAAACCTGTGAGATATCTGGGGAGGTACTGAATTCCAAATAGTGTATTCTGAGGTTAACCCTCAAATGGTAAAATCTAAAGACTAAAAGATGAAGGTAGGGGCAACTGTTCACTTTACTAAAGAAATGACCATCTGTTAACTCTCCTACTATATTTTAAGTAACCTCCAATTTACATACAGCTCTGCAGGAATGCAAGCATACACGTTTCTTTTTGTTTTGTTTTGTAGAGATGAGATCTTGCTTTGTTGCCCAGGCTGGTCTTGAAGTTCTGGGCTCAAGCAATCCTCCTGCTGTGGCCTCCTGAAGTGCTGGGATTACAAGCATAAGCCACTGTGCTTGGCCAAGACCCACGTTTTCTATGTATATCTGAACATCTGTCTTGGCAACACATGGAAAAGAATGGGGTTTCCAATTCGATTTTAAACAAATTCGTCTTCTTTTCATAAGTCTTGATTAACACAGGAGTTAACAAATATGATTACTGAAAATGTGATCTGATGCCAGTTTCTAATGAACATATTCTTATATTTTTAAATAAAACGTATTAAAGAACTACCATGTGGATAAAGCAAGATACTGAATCTGTATAAATAATAAAAATAACTTTCAAAATGAAATGTTTAAGGTATCTTCAGTATTACCAAAAAGGCATTTGACATAGGCTGGTATTCTTTATTGAACAAACCTTGTCAATGACGGGAAGTGGATTCATATCTTCCTGTCCATCTCTGGAAGGTTCCATGGGGGAAACAGTCCCAACCTAGAAAGCTGATCAGAAGACTCCTGCCCATACACCAGCAATTGGTATTTGTATGGCTACCTAAGCAGCTCCCTCTGAATCCAGGTACTAATCAGTCATCATTATGGCTTCCTTGGGGTTATCCAAAGCCTTTGGTGACTGAAAAAGCTGTGCTAACAATAAAGGACTGAAAACACTTTTTTTCTTCGTGGAAAGATGGACATCATACTACATGTGTTTCTTCTTGACAGATCTCTTAGACAATTCATAAAACTCACATACAGATGAATCTTTGATTAAACACTCACAGGGGTTCGGGACTTTTATTTTAAAGGTCCTAATAGTTTCACCAGGAGAATGTATCTACTAAGGCTACATTATTGATGAAAACTTAATAAATCAAAAAAATTCTTTACTTTCATCCCTCTTGCATATAAGACTGAAGAGTTTTGTCTCATCCAGCAAGGGAAGTGCTGCGAGGCTGCTATCACAAAAGTATCTTTCTTTCTGCTGAATAAAGGAAAGGCTCTCTCACCCTGCGTGGACTCCGAACTGCTCCTGAAACAACAATAGCAGACTGTGAAAGATGTCCTTAACTGCAGAGGTGGACAGGAAGTCGTGAATCCACTTCCCCTCATTGACAAGGTTTGTTCAATAAAGAATACCAGCCTATGTCAAAGTAGTAGCCTTTGGGTGTTAAACAAAGAGATACTTGTAAGTATAAAATGGACAAGTGAATGCTAGTGCCACAAAGAAGTTAGGGCATATCTGTTACCAGACAATAAAAGCATCCCTTTATAGTGTCAGTGTGGCCTGAAAAGAGCCCAAGAGAAACAGGAAAAGGAAGTTAGAGCACAAGTGCTCTGAGGCTCCCATCAAAAATAACGGCCATATATACAATGTATTTATCAGGGAAAAATGAGAAATTAACACATCAGAGGTCTCAGCAATAAATACAGTATTAAATTCTTGGGCCCATCTATTAACGCTGACTGAAAGATCACACCGTTTTTCAGAAGAAAACCTGTGAAGTCAGTCGCATGGGACTAGGAAGCTCTCACCTGAATGTTGACAAACACGCCATGATAAGTCTCATACAGAACTTTGTTACCCTTCACGTGCAGAGGAAATTCAAAAGGGATTTCTGTTTTGCCGCTGGGGAATTTCCCTGGCTTCACCATTTCTATGGTGCTGTTGATAATCTGGATAGGCTGTAAACAAAAATCAATTGAGTCCATCAGTAGGTACTTGGAGATGTCCTTTCCAATCACAGTGTCTATTAATAACCTTCTGAAAGACACAGCACCCTGAGGCCCTGGAGGCTACCATCCTGCAGTCGTGGGCAGCTCCATGCTGGGTCTAGAGATGAACAGTGACTTGGCTCTGTTTTTTAAGACTCTGGTATAGTAATGGTTGATTTACAACATGAGGCACATAGGTGCTTGATCCACATGGGAACTGAAGTGATATGTCCTTTCTCCTCCCCAAGTATCTCATTTAACTGTTTTAACAACCCCAATCTTCAGAATCAAGAAGCAGATCCAGCACAGTGAGGCTGCCTGGCTAACAGGGCTGACGTGTGAACCCACGGCTCTCCTCACCCAGCCCGTGCCCTTTGGGGCAGTACTGCCTCTGCTCCTGATGGCCCACCAGCTTCCTCGAAGCCTTCCTGCTGCAGCTGCTTGGGGAGAGCAGGCCTTCCTCCAGACCCATGGCCTGCACAGAGCTCCTCAGCTGTGCCCCCAAGGAGGAGCAGGAGGGTACTAACATTTGGAACCTGCCTTTGAAGTATGTAGTCATGCTTTTTAAGACTTACAGCTTAACATCAGTGGCTCTGAGAAGATCCATGACTTAGGAAGTAAATCTCTAAGAACTAATGGATTAAAATAAAATTGTAGAAAACATAGGAAGCCCCTAAATCAGAACACTGTGAATGCACCTTTCTTCCCTTAACTCTTTTCCCATAAAACTTAAAGAGTTAAAATGTCCTTCAGGAAAAGGAAATTATAAGAACAGAGAAGGAGTTTACATTGTGGAACACATAACTCTACCCTAAATGACAAAAGAACAGTTACTTGCTCTGTTTTCACCTTACCTTAGTCTCAAATCAATAGCAGCATATACATAGCTAATAGAGTAACAGTTTTGATTTTGGAAGGCAGGTAACATAAGCCACGGGCACAACTTCTCAGAAGAGCTGTGTGTGTGTGTGTGGTTTTTTTTTGTTTTTTTTTTTTTTTTGAGACTGAGTTTCACTCTTGTTGCCCAAGCTAGAGTGCAATGGCGCGATCTCAGCTCACTTCAACCTCTGCCTCCCGGGTTCAAACAGTTCTCCTGCCTCAGCCTCCCAAGTAGCTGGGATTACAGGCACACACCACCATACCCAGCTAATTTTTTGTAATTTTGGTAGAAATGGGGTTTCACCATGCTAGCCAGTCTGGTCTCGAACTCCTGACCTCAGGTGATCTGCCTGCCTCCGCCTCCCAAAGTGCTGGGATTACAGGTGTGAGCCACAGCACCTAGCAGTATTCTTTTTAATGCCTGAAATTAATACATTTATAGTTTTCCTAATCCTATTTATCAAGTGGGAATAAGTATAAACAGACTTTCAATAACAGGATATACTTAGAAACAAAGTATCTTCAATCGGCCTCCCAAAGTGCTGGGATTACAGGTATGAGCCACAGAGCTGAGCAGTGTTCTTTTTAATGGCTGAAATTAATACATTTATAGTTCTCCTAATCCTATTTATCAAATGGGAATTAGTATAAGCAGACTTTCAATAACAGGATATACTCAGAAACAAAGTATCTCCAATTTCGCAGGTTGGTTAGTAAATATCAGAGGTACCTCCATCCCTTGCAAAATAACAGCAGATAACAATAAAGGCACACAGCAAGTGAAAACCACCATATACATTTCTTTTTGTTTAAGAGACATGGTGTCTTGCTCTGTTGCTGAGGCTGGTGTGCAGTGCTGTGATCATAGCTCACTGCAGCCTTGAACTCCTGGGCTCAAGGGACCCTCCTGCCTCAGCCTCCAGAGTAGCTGGGACTACAGGCACACACTGCCATACCCAGCTAATTTTTAAAGTTTTTAGAGAGATGGGGTCTTGCTATGTTGTCCAGGCTACTCTCAAACTCCTGGGCTCAAGCAATCCTCCCACCTTGGCCTCCCAAATTACTGGTATTACAGGCCTGAGCCACTGTGCCTGGCCCTGAGCCACTGCAGCCAATCCAACATTTCAATATTGAACTAAAAACTTGCAATCTAAGCATTCTTACCTTAACAGAATTATAAAAAGCTTCAAACACCCCCACACTTTTGGCACTGAGCTGGAGGTTTACAGTTCCTTCCATGGTCAAAGACACTCCCTGGTGTTGGACTGAATCCTTACTCGATATGACCACCACGCCAGAGAGCACTTCCTGGGAGAGAGAAAAGACAGCCACCAATCCAATTAGCGTGCTTCTTTCATTCACTTTATTAGCAAAACAAATTGATCCTTCACAATCAATTTGTTTAAAGACCCAGACATTCACTGAGACACCTGGATACCAGGATGGAGAAGGCCCAGGCCCTGGTGGGGGCCAGATGCCCACTGGTAATGACATGGCAGCCTGGACACCCCCTGAGGGGAGCACCAGAGTGTGGGGATGAGAGATCTCATCCCGTCACTGCCTTTCAGACATGTCTTCATTCCTGGTTGGGGAATCTCGACCGATGTCTGAGTTCAAGAGTGCAAAGAGAAGGGCCCGGGCAAATGTAAGTTCCCAGCGATATTACACAGGGCGTGAATGGAGTCCCTTCAAAAGGAATGCAAGAAAATAAAACCCTGCTCGTTAGGCTCTTCTCAGTTGTGCTGACTAAAATGACAGCACATCTGCAAATGGGTAATTTCACACAATGGTTAGCCTGGTGTCCCTTCTGCCCAGAGATGCCTACTAGGGGCGAGACTGGAGGTTATCAGTGCCATCCACCAGGCAGCAGCACGCCACCTTCCCGAAGGACTGCCTTGTCCCTGGAGTTCCTGCTGACGCTGGGAGGCAATGGCGCCTTGATTCCCTTGGTTGACACATCATTGAGAGACTTCACAACAGATCATCTATGCTTTATCTGAAGATAATTACTGAGGAATAGATTATGGACAGTAATTACATTCGTTATTAGAGAGCAGTTTCTTCCCATCACCACAGAACTGGATAATTTCAGTCTGTTACAGAGGCTTGAGTGGAAGAGGAAGCTGAGGGGGTGACACAGCATCAAGCAGAGCAGAAAGACTGAATCTACAATCCACACAGAACAAGTGTCAGGCCGGGCGCGGTGGCTCAGGCCAGCAGTCTCAGCACTTTGAGAGGCCAAGGCAGACAGGCTGCTTGAGCCCAGGAGTTTGGGACCAGCCTGGGTAACATAGTGAGACTCCATCTCTACAAATAATATGAAAAAAAAATTAGCTGGGTGTGGTGGCACCCGCCTATGGTTCCAGCCACTTGGGAGGTTGAGGTGGGAGAACTGCTTGAGCCTGGGCAGTTGAGGCTGCAGTGAACTGTGACCACGCCACTGCACTCCAGCCTGGGGGACAGGGCGAGACTCCATCTCAAAAATAAACAGTAAAAATTAAAACTGGCCCGCAGATCAAACCATTAAAAAACAGCTGTCCTACTGGTGTTTAAATCGGCTTATCTTTTATTTCTTCTAGTCATCCGCTGAAAATTTTTTACTAAGTTCTTACTTTAACTTGAATTTTCGAAACAAGAAATATTCTATCTCCCTTAAATGTGCTAAGTATTTTGTTTTTGTTTTCCACTCCCCACCCCAAAGCCTTGAAGCCTAATTAAAACAAACATGATCATCTCCATTTTAAGCAATCTTAAGAATAAAATGAGTTCTCCTTGAATTCTACTTAAAATGGAGATGATCATGTTTGTTTCAATGTTAATGTGTAAAGTTTAATTTAATGTTCCTAAAAAATTCCTAAGTGAACTTAAATAAAAATTCCTGTGAAATAACTTAAATTCTAAGTTTAATTAACATTCATTCTATTAATTTTTTGTGTTGTCCAAATTCATGTGGAAATTTAATTATAAAAATGTAGGCCAGGTACGGTGGCTCATGCCTGTAATCCAGCACTTTGGGAGACTAAGGCAGAAGGATCACTTGAGCCCAGGAGTTCGAGACCAGCCTGCACAGCACAGTGGGATTCTTTCTCTACAAATAAAAAAATGTTAAAAATTAGCCAGGCGTGGTGGTGTGCTCAGGAGGCCGGGGGCGGGAGGATCACTTGAGCCTGGGAGGTAAAGGCCACAGTGAGCCATGATTGAGCCACTGCACTCCAGCCTGGGTAACAGGATAATACCCTGTCTCAAAAAAAGAAAAAAAAAATGTTTAATCTACTAGTATATTTTTAAAATTTTACTTGATGAATATGTCCCACAAATAAATGAGACAAAGTAATTTGTGAACTTAATCAATTAAACAATGTAGTAGCACTTGAGGATGGTCTGCTCCTATGTGATCATAATATTTTCCGTCAATCTCACAGGAACAGATCTGTGGTCTCACTGATTGGCATGTTTTAACTATGACATCAGTAAAGCCTGTTCCTTCCTTAATTCCTGCAACGTAAGAAGAAAAAAAGTAGTGATATACCTCGGAAGTAAGCAGAGCAAATATTTCATGACTCAAGGGATTCTTTCATCATTCTTTCAGTGAGACACAATGTAGTACAGAAAATACAAAATTAACATTTATGGATAAATTAGACATTCTTATAATATACAGGTTTATTCAACTCCTACCAATGAAAGAAGGATAGGGAATTAGCCCACCTGAGGCTAACAGGTCCAGGGATTTAGAAACAGAAGCGGGTGTAACAGAGAGGCAAGATCTGTTCACACATGCTTGATTCATCCTGGCAGAGAAAGACAGGATAAACTGGAAAAACAGACATTAAGGAAACCTCAAGATCTCACCAAGAACTTCTCCCTTAGACTTTTGTCTAGACATTCATCAGGAAGACATAAGATTTATGGCTCCAGATGGTACTAATACCTCATCCAATATCACAAGCAGAGGCCTTCAACTGGGGGCCATGACTCCAAAGAGGGGCGCATTCAGAGACTGGCAATAAACCCAGAAAGTATATACCGAAATCGTGTGCAATGGGCCACTGTTTGGGAGAAAAGCCGTAGCTTTTGTCCCATCATCGAGGAGGGGCCTGGTCTGGGAAAGGTCATGTTGTCAACTGGGAAGAGGGAGAGATGCAGTCCCGTGTGGTATGTGTGCTCATCACAGAAACCAGCAGAGACCCTGGGACCCACCTGTGTCAGGAAGAGCAGACCCATCTTCAAGGTGGAAAAGTAAAGAGCTTTCATTTGAGGAATGTGAATCCTTTTAAGTTATCAAGCCCAGAGACACTGAAATGAGACGGCAGACCCATCCTCCCCCTCTCTGCGTTGTGCTTATCTCTTGAAACTACCTGGTTTTGCCACCAGGAGCTAAGGTATAAATTACCTCCATCATACCACATCCGAGACTACAGCCCGCTCCCTAGAGCTTAACAATGGAGAGCCAATTGCCCATCAATGTCATTTCTGTAAGCCAATGGGTCTGTGTCTTCTGGGCAGCTGTCCTCTCTCTCGCTCAAGTCAGGTCTTTAATATACTTTGTGCCCCCACCTCTTTGTTTTAGGTGGTCAGAGGCAATACCTCCAAGAACCAGACAAATCAGAGCCTGCTTCAAGGAGGCCATGACCTTGCCCCAGACGAGCTAAGTCTGGGGAGAAGCCTGATGCTGCCCATCTTCAACCTCAGCCCAGAGAGCAGCATGGAAACAAGTATTCCAAAGGCTACCGGCCACCCTTGCTCTTATCAGCTTTGCTGGTTCACACGGCAGAAACCACTGGCAAGTCTGTTTAAAGTGAGGTAAAAGCAACCACATCTTCTAACTTGCTATTCTCATTTTTCTTCTCATTCACTCTCTCCCCCAGGCTGGAGTGCAGTGGCACAATCTCAGATCACTGCAACCTCTGCCTCCTGGGTTCAAGCAATTCTCCTGCCTCAGCCTCCTGAGTAGCTGGGACTACAGGCATGCACCACCACACCCAGCTAATTTTTTGTATTGTTAGTAGAGTTTCACCAATGTTGGTCAGGCTGGTCTCGAACTCCTGACCTCAAGTGATCCACCTGCCTCAGCCTCTCAAAGTGCTGGGATTACAAGTGTAAGCCACCACACCCAGCCTAACTTAGTATTCTCTAAATGTAAAAGGACACTACCAAACTATGCAACTCTTTTTCTTATTTGTTCTCTGGAATAAAATGCCAAAACCATAATTCGGACTCTGGGTTTCAAAATGGTGGCATCAAGTCAGTGATCCCCTCTGGGCTTCCTGGAAATCACCCAAAGAACAAGAAACAAAACTACAAATTGCCTTTTCGGTGAAGCAAGGAGATAGCTAAATACTGTAAAATAGGTGGAAGCGCTGTGAAAAGAAGTGAAGACTAAGGAGAGGCACGTGATGAAAACCGGAAACAAGGCCCCCTGGCTCTGCAAATGTGCTTCCTCTGGAAAGTGAGGGTGCACCTGGCAACAGCTGAGGCCACTCCCAGAGAGGCATCCTATCAGCAGCCCCACCATGGGAAGCAATCGTCTCTGCAGCGGTGAAGGCAACCAGCCCCCTGTACAGGGGGCAAACGCCCTGCAGCTGGTTCCCGCATGGGCTCACGCAACACAAAGATGAAAGAAACTCACACGTAAAATCTCCAGCTATTAAAACAGTCCAGCCAGCCTGGTCTAGAAATAAATTCATCTCCTGCAAGGAAAGGTTAAAAGGAACCAGCAGAGGAGCACATGACATCTAATGGATTAAAAAATGAGAGTGGGGAAGGGAGAGGAAGGAGGGGAAGTGAAGAAGGAGAAAAATCCAAGTGGCAGATGAATAGGAAAGACAGATCGGGTCACTCTTCTACTTAGATCTCTAAGCAGCTCGCCATCTCACGCACATGGTAGGAGCCACAGCGGGGACCTGTGGCCCCCTACAAAGGGGACCTGCCCTCCCCTTATCTGATGGCCCTCATGTGGGCCCCTCTGCTCCCCTGTCCCTGCCCTGGCCCCCCTGCCATTCCTGTAAGAGGCCTGCACATTCCAGCCTCAGGCACCTGCCCATGTTCCTCACTCCACCTGCTTGTTCTTCTCAAGACACCTGCAGGGCTCGGTTCCCTGAGCCCACATTTATAACTGTACCACTCCCACCTAGCACTCAGTATCCCCATCCCTGACTGTGCTCTGTGACACTTACCACCTTCCAAAATACGACAAAAGTGCCTCCCTATTTTATTTACTGTCTGTCTCCGGCGCCTGAACATGAACTCCACCAGGGCAGAGTGACTGGCAACAGTGAGCACTCAATGAACGTTTACTGAATGAATAT